TCTTTCCCCTTCTCCTCTCTCTAAGCAATAAAAATATCCTTTAAAAGATCTTGGCAGTGGTGTTATTAAGCAGGCTGTCAGATCTTGATAGAAGAATCCTCAGATACGTGGTGTCCCTCAGTGAGTGGTGTCCCTCAAGGGTTGGTATTGGGACTGGTGCTCTTCAACATCTTTGTCAGTGATATGGACAGTGGGATTGAGTGCACCCTCAGCAATTTCACCAACAACACCAAGCTGTGTGGTGCGGTTGACACGTTGGAGGGAAGGGATGCCATCCAGAGGGACCTTGACAGGCTTGAGAGGTGGGCCTGTGCTAACCTCATGAAGTTCAACAAGACCAAATGCAAGGTCCTGCATCTGGGTTGGTGCAACCCCAAGCACAAATACAAGCTGGGCGACGAATGGCTTGACACCAGCTCTGAAGAGAAGGACTTGGGAGTGGTAGTGAATGAGAAGCTCAACATGAGCCAGCAATGTGCGCTTGCAGCCCAGAAGGCCAACCGTATCCTGGGCTGCATCAAGAGAAGCGTGCCAGCAGATCGAGGGAGGTGATTGTCTCCCTCTACTCCACTCTCATAATACCCCACCTGGAGTACTGTGTCCAGTTCTGGAGCCCCCAACACAAGAGAGGCATGGAGCAGCTAGAACAAGTCCAGAAGAGGGCCACAAGGATGATCCGAGGGCTGGAGCACCTCTCCTATGAGGACAAGCTGAGAGAGTTGGGGCTGTTCAGCCTGGAGAAGAGAAGGCTCCAGGGAGATCTTATAGCAGCCTTACAATACCTGAAGGGGCCTACAAGAAAGCTGGGGAGGGACTTTTCATAAGGGCAGTTAATGACAGAACAAGGGGAAATGGCTTTAAACTGGAAGAGGGGAGGTTTAGATTAGATATTAGGAAGAAGTTCTTCACTGTGAGTGTGGTGAGACACTGGAACAGGTTGCCCAGAGAAGTTGTGGATGCCCCCTCCCTGCAAGTGTTTAAGTCCAGGCTGGATGAGGCTTTGAGCAACCTGGTCCAGTGGAAGGTGTCCCTGCTGATGGCAGGGGGGGTGGAACTAGATGATCTTTAAGGTTCCTTCCAACCCAAATTATTATATGATTCTATGATTCTACATAACTATTTACTGTTATATCACAACATGTTAATATTTTTGATTCTCTGAGTATTTTTCTATTAAAATAACAGTCTGTTGCAAAGAAAGAATATATGACATTTATTATATCACTGAAGTTGCTCTCCCAAAACAGGCAATTTCTCAAGCCATTACAGTAAAGCTTCACAAATATTCTTCTTGAGAAATTCCACCATGAAATGATTAATCTCAGGGAACTATATTTTTGACTGATTTCAAAACAGCTAAAGTACGTCTGGGCAATCTTAATGAGAAGTAACAGTGCTGTCTCTCCCGATCCAGAATGCTTGCTAATTGGCTTCTAATGTAGGTGTCATGGTAGCAAAAGATTATGAGCCTGGTTCCAGCAGGAGCAGTTCAGAACATTGAAATTAAGTGCAGAAGCTCCCCAATGGGGGATTCAGGCAACTGACTGATCCAGATCTTCTCAAAAGTGCCAGGCACAGAATCTGTTTGAGCTTCCACATGTGAAGCAGCTCCATGCACTTGGGATCTGAAGGACGGTGGCCTCCCCTGGAGGGAAGTGCTCAGGCTTATCAGACTTTATGACTCAATGAATCAGATAAGCTAGTGGTAATTTCCCTCCGGGTCTAAGAAAACTCAAACTGCTGAAGAGCCTAATCTGAGGCTATTAAATGTGGGCCATCCCCAGCTGTCTTGTTCAAATTAGATCAGCATAAATTAAGCATAAATGAATCTGGATTTCTTCCTGAACAATTAGTTATTCCAAAGTCTATTGAAGCCACTCAGTGTCCTTTTACTGACAGATTCAACAAGTTTGGATTGTGCCCTAGTGCTGAGGTAGAAGAACTTTTCCAGTTAATTCATCCATGTCTCATCCTTTCTAGTGCTTCTTTCTCTTTTTCATAACAAGTCCACTTTTTAGCAATGTGGTATTTTTCACACTGAGGAATGCAAGAGAGTGAAACTGAATTTTAGTGCCATTGGCAACATTATATATGAAACCGGTGGAATTCACTGCCGCAGGAGGTCAGCCAGTCAAACACTATGGTGAGATAATTTTATAGCCATCAGTAAATTCTGTAGATGTGCAAGCATAGATAATAGCGTAAGGTTAATTAGATTTCATGCCTCTGAGCATAAAATATATTTTTGCAGGGGCCAGTAAGGAATTCTGTTCCCATTTACAGACTCACATTAGTCTTAGTGAAGTTTTCACCTCATAAGCATCAGAGATGCTTTGACCACAAATGGAAAGAAGATATAAATTCTGGGGCTTAATTTGCAATGCACTTGGTCCTAGCTGAACGCACAGTCTCCCTCTTCTCTGAAGTCAATTTAAACAGTTGAAGAAGGCACCCAGTGACCTCAGATGGAGCTCAAAATTACCTAGCAGTGGACACTAGGTAGCTGTTTTCAATTAACTTTTCATGTGCTGTGTCTTCACATATCATTGTGTCACAATTTTGAACTCAGGTAATATTTTTCATCATTTAAAAGAAGAGCACTATTAGACCACTAACACCAGCAAGCCATTTGTTTACCAGCTTCTGAAGTCCTGAAATCTTGTTTCATTCATTCTTTCAAAACATTATTTTGTTTTTTTTGTTTGTTTGTTTGTTTTTTATTTTAACCCAGTCTTTGTGTAGCACCTACTAGGGCAATTCCAGGCCATTTTGAAGGTGACAGAAAGAGCAGCATCAGTGCAGGTAGAACTACTGTTGCACTGTCAATAACCAGTCAAAACTCAGCCTGGTCAAAAGTATCAAATACTCTTCGATTTCCTCTGTTGGATTTTCTACTGTTCCCCAGGAAATCACTTGCAGAGAAAACCCACTTATTTAGCACATTCAACTCCAGAAAATGCTGGCTAATTAACACAGTTAAAATTCTCAAAGCCTGAAGCAATCTTTCAAGTGAAATAGTATTCAAAACTTGATGAGTTACTCTGCAGGCTCATACTTAATTTTAACTACCACTGTAGAACATTAATTGCTTGCTCATAAATTTAGAAAGACGATATATAAATACATCATAACTGTTTTGCTGAAACTAGAGGTCAACACACAGATGCACACAGACAAAAATGAGCTACTGTAATGACATTTTTACTGGATGCTGTTTTATTTCTTCTTTGAAAACAAGTGCCAATGTGCTTAGAATACAAATGGGTAGACAGAAATACTTTGACAGGGATGACCCGCAACTCTAGTTTCCTGCTCTCTTCTCCAAAGGGGAGGAAAGAGCAATGAAAACCAGTACTGGAATAGACAGTATTTCTGTCTTTCTATACATGAGTAGACACTGAGGAAAAAAAAAAAAATAGAACAAGAAATAAATCAGACCCTTTATGCAAAAACTGAGACAATCTGAGACCATTTTTAATCAAGAGAGCAACTACTTAATTACTTACCTATCCAAGCTCCCAACTCTGGCAACTAGATATAGGAGACTTCCAATAGCAAGGCTGCCTAGTACAAAGAGCTTCTGTCTCAGCAACGCCTGCTGTTTGAATAGCATGGCCCTCCATCAATCTTCAGGACTTCTTCAGTCTGCAGAGAGAACACATAAAACACTCATCAGAAAGCAATAAGCAGCGTAATGTTTAATCAGCTGCAAGTGATTAAGCCACACTTGCAAAATATTTTCAAACTGCAAAAGAAGTAGTTAAAACTTTTTTTTTTGCTACTGTTTTTCTGTCCCACAGTGTAACACCAGGCAATGTACCTTGGATAGGGTAATAATTCTGGAAGAGATAGTTCAGCTACATCCACTTTTACTAGGGCTGTCTGATAGCCACACCATGGGTCTTCACTGTGAAGAGGCTTATATTGTAATAGAAACTCTTGTTAGGTAAATATATTTAGACTTTAGGCCCTTCAAAATCAGCCTGGGCTAGATGTCAACAGAGATTTAAATACTTTGCTGCCAGTAACCATGAGTTAAGCTTGCAGGTACTGTGCACACAGTGTATGGGGCATGTTTACTGTGTCTGTAGTATTATTAGAGTATAAGTTGGAGAGAAAACTAAACCAGTGTACTTCCTGATCTGTGCCAGCAAGCCCCTGATGACAGACCTGAGAGGCATGTAGCTGGGGTGGGCACAACGACCAGTTTTTGACACCAGCTCATCCTATCAGCTATCCCTGTGCTGGGTGTTATATTGGGCTGTTCTATGGAGAAACCTTAAGCATCTCATCTGCCTGACAGCAGCCTTGGCTGTCATCTGAAGTCCTGATGGGACACAACTGGAATCCTCGAACTGAGCATGCCCATATCCCCAGATTTCAGCAACACCAAGACATAGACTTAAATTTCCTTTTCTGATATGCACCAGAGACCATCTAAAGGCCACAAATGAGCTTTGCTGCAAATACTTTAGATGTGAGGCAGGCATGAGTCAGATTATGTGACCTTGTACCAACAAGATAGAACTAGAATAACCAGGAAGTTCCTAGGTAAGGTAGAAAGAAGTGCTGAGTAAAACTATTTGTCTTTAGCCTGACTTTTCCCCAGGAATTAGGTTTGTGTTCAGGACTGCAGATCTGTTTAGGAGACTAAGAGCTGCATTTCTAATACCTTCTTAGAAAAACTGAGGAGAAAGATCAGTCTCTCAGAGCACAGTCAAAGATGACATGGTTCTCCACTCTGTACTAATCTTGGGCTTTCTTATAAATACACAGGAGAGTAAAGTTCAAACCTTCTCACTGTCTCAGAGGATGTAAAGCTATATTGCCTACTCACAAATGGATCCTTTAATCACCAAATTGATTCTCTTGATATAAAAACCACAAATAGAAACTATAGTCACCTGAACTACTCATCCATGTTCTCACTACCTCAACCAGGGAGTGTTTAATGTATTATGGAGTAGTTTCAACTGAAACTGCTTTCTTCCTGAATTTTGACTGGACTTACTTTGAACAATTTTTGATGCTAAGTTTCTTATGTTTTACTACTAGTAAAGCTCCTTTTTCAGCTCACTTTCTTCTTTTCCAGCCTTAGCACTTGCATCAGGTAAGACTAGGATAGATTATTATAAACATATAACTATATACAGAAGCAAAATTGGTAGTGAGAGTGCAAGATTTGACTATTTGACTGGTGACTGTTAAACAGAGCTTGCAAATGCTTCTTTGTCCTGCCCATACTATTAAATTTTTCGCCCAGAAAGCTCTCACAAGACTCCAGGATACAGTTTGGGAGCTACTGCAAGCCAGGGACCATTTCCAGCATGCATATAGCCTGTCTGACTTACTGCTGGCTTAGTTTAATGATATGGATGCAGGTCACTCTTGTACTGATTGTCTTTAAGGGTGATAGAATAGTCATTCCCAAGCACATTTATTTAACCTGATATATAGAAAGCCTTTGTAAGACTAGCCCATCATCTCTTGATAAAAGAGCGATGGAACATTGAAGTTCTGAGTCTGGCTGAGTCTTTAACACACTTCTGGTGTCCTATTAATAACAGTAACTCCTTATACAGCCAGGTCATAGCTCAAGATAACCTCTCACATGGGATAACGTCATACAGAATATATTGCTTTTTACATAGATAAAAGCAACTCTATAATAAGAATTCTTAGATAAGATCCTTATTGGAACAAGAAACACAGAGTAAAAGGAGTTTGCAATGTAAATACAGAGACAGAAGAAACATTACCATCCTTTAAAAAATAAATGAGGAGCAGAGGTACAGAGAGATTAAGTGCATCGTTCAAGGTCACAGAGAAAACCTGCAGCATCAGTGGGATTCAGTATGAAATATCTGAATTCCTATCTAGTGCCTTAACTACATGATAAACTTTTGCTTTTTTTTGTAGTGTACTTTTTCTTAACATTGAAAAACAAACATTAAAATGTCATATAAATGAGGAATTCTACACATTGAGCAAGGCAGAAAACCTATAGCTGAAACTTAATTATTAAGAAGAATGCACAGATACTATATCTCTATGTTGATATGCTACTGATAATTACTTTTAAAATTAAGTTATTTAATTAAAAAGAGGAAACAGAAGGACATGATGATGATGATGATGATGATGAGGATGAAAGCAAATTTTCATAGGTTCCCTGTTTTAAATCCTTCAGTGCTGCTCTCTCTAAATAAAAGTATCATTGAAATAATACAACAATTGGTTCTGAAATTAATCTCTCAGAAAACATATACATGTGCAGCTCTGTACATGAAACTAAAGTGCTGTTCACCCTTATACAGGCTCTTGGACCCCAGTTAGGTCCTACCTGCAGGCCTCATTAAAGCTGTGGAGGTCATCAGACCATAATGAAATCAAATTAATAACAAGCTGTTTTCTGAAATAGATTCCATAAAGTCTCAGGACCACAATATTCATGTTTGCAATAAGTTTTAATGCAAAAAAACCAAACCAACCCAACCAAGCAACCAACCAAAAAAACCCAAACCCAAACCAATTCCTTTTGCTCTGTGTTTGTATGTACCTGAGTACAGAAAAATTTTCCACAAAATGACAACTACTAAACACCTACTAGAAAAGCAAATGTAACATTGTTTATTTGCTTGTTTCATTTTTGTTATCACTTTCAGCATCTAATTTAAAGTCCATGGAAAGAGTTTTATTCCAGAAAAGTTGTGACTTCCATAATACTTTCCTCAAATGTTAGGTTTTTTTCATGAAAAAGAATGTAGAGAAATAATATCTCAGTTTCAGAAATGGCTACATCTTGCAATGGATGTACTAAGATAGCTCTACGTGACAAAGGAGAGGACTGAAGAAACACTTTATTTAAGCCGCAGAGTTAATACAACCAGAATGTGATTAAGGTGAAGGTCCCTAAGGCAGGAATGTTTCTGCAGACTAACATGGCAACACTTAAATGAAATAGAAAGAAGAAATGAAAAGGAAGAAATGAAAATTCTGGGACACATTATAAGCTGCACAAAGTTTTCTATAAGGAACGCACACTTTTAAACTTAACAAGAAGCTGGAGGGCAAGATAAAATGTAATCCAAAATGACAGGATTTTAGCAGTTATTTGAGGCAAAGAAGGGTGTTTTTAGAAAAATCTACTCTCTTTTAGGGATGACAGGTGAACTTGCACACCAACTACTGACTGGTAGGGGCAGTGTTGGGAAAGTAGCAGGCAGAACTTTCCCAGTAGTTGGTTGCTGGTTGTGGAACCTCCCACCAAAAGAAATGACAGTATACTGTTGCACATTTCCAGCGGGCTTATATCAGAAATATCTTATCATCTTGAACAATCCAGTTAAATATGCATAAGAGGAAAATATTTTCCTGGATATCCAAGAGAGTCATGATGCACAAAAAACAACGCAAATAATTCACAATGTAGATTGCATAATTTCTAGAAATGAAAGTGTGTGCAACATCATGTAGAGAAAAAAATGTAATGTGCTTTGTGATATGAGATGTACAGCTGATCTAACTTGTTAGATTGACATGGTAAAGTTCAATAAAGAAATTTCATTTAGCACTAAAAAGTAGCCTTATAAGAATTTTGATGTCAATGCCTTACCCAACCCAATTCTCCATGTTCCCATTCCTGTTTGTGTCAGAACCGAGGTTATTGAGTGAATTGCCAAGAGAAGACAGTGCAGCTACACAGAACTGTGATGGTAATATCAACTGCAAAACAGATGGACTGTTTCTGACAAGATGAAGTGATCATGGATAAGGGAAGATATTATATGTGCTGACCAAATAATGTGAATTTTTGATGAACTCTTGTAGAAGTTTTAGGTTCAAGTTATGTCGAAGTCAAATGAGTAGGACAGAACAGAAAAAGGCATACCAATAATGATGGTATTATTGATAAAAGCCTGAATTTTATAACACCACAAATTGTGCAGAAGCACTGAAAAGAGAAGCTGTTGCTATAATCATCTATTTAAAATAAACAGACAGTGAGACAAGATCTCCAGGAAATTGTTTGTAAATTATAAGAGGGAAATTTTTGGACACATGGAGCAGAGACAAGATGATGTTATTGATAAATAACACATGATTGATTATGGAGAGACGCGTAAGAAAGGAAGGCAACATATAATCCTTTGGTACACAGACTGAAGAGGTACAGTCTTGATGGAGTGATGCAATTAATCAAAGTGAAGTACAAACCACAGGCAAATATGCACAAACTAGGCTGGAAAAAATAATAAATAGGAGGTGGTTTTTAAACTGAATTTATCAATCAGTTGGCATAGAATTTTTTTTTATTTTGCACACCAGCAGGGGTCATCTGTTGACCAACAAATATTTGTCTTCATACACTGCAAAAAGATCTTTGAGTTTATGTGGGATTTAAATACAGTAACTGAGAAAACAAGTCAGGTAACTGATCACTCAGTACATTTCCATTTCTCTTGATCTTGCATTATGTTTCTTGAACATTAACTACAGCTTCTTGTATTTGTCTGTGAGTAAACTTCATACAAATCAAGCATTTAGACTTTTTCTGAGGTAGGAAATCACATGACATTTGGGAAAGGAGGGAATTTATCCCTCAAATTATGTGCATCAGCTTATGATCTTCTTCATGATTTGGC